ACGAGTGTCAGCGCGCGCTATCCCCAAATCCACGCGTCGTAATTTTTGCGTTTTCTCAGATCCTCTCGTTTTTATTCTCGTTTCCTCTTTCACTTTTTTGTCCTTTCTCTTTCTTTCCGTCTTCCGCATCCAACTTCAACACGTAACGCCCTGTCAAAAATGAAAATTCCATTTGCTCGGCGTTAGCGCCGCGTTATTGTGGGATGCTTCATACAAATTGTATGGGCATGAGGATTTTTGACAGTTGTTTGGCGCTTGACGCGCCAATTTAGGGATGGCAGTTAGCGTCAATTTGGCGATTTTTTTTTTATACTTGCGCGAAAAAATTTAGGAAATCGTCTTTGGCGATTTTGTGAGTTTTTTTACCTTCAAGTCCACTTTTTGTGCGCTACCATGTAAATGCGTCGAAAGTAGGTTATGGAGTTAGAGCTTTAGTTTTGATATAGCAACACTTATTATTGTTATCGCTTTTATTTTAGCCAATATTTGACAACCATTTGTGACAACTCCCGCTGAATTTGAAATTTGCAATTTCATAATAGCTGAACTCGCCTTATAAAAGCTTTTATTTTATTTTAATGCCGTGAGAAATTGGGCGATTTTTGGCGAATTTTTTTCGAAATGGATTTTTCTTTTTAAACAATATGGACACCCTGTTACTCGCACCCAATGGCATTGCCAGCTCGCATAGAATTGATTTTTACACAGCGAAGTTCGCAGGATGCAATCAAATTGGAAATATTCGCCATTGGCGTGAAAAATTGCAAGTGGCGTTGTTCGGTCGGTCAGTTGTCGGGAGTTGATGAAGTGTTAATTTGTATTTAATTGGAAAAACGATTAAAAAATATACAATAAGCCAATAAAGTGGAATGGATATTGATTGCAGTACAAGAAAGTGTGTGCAGAAGGAAGATTGTGGGTGTACGATGCGGAGGTCTCTGAGAAGGCTTCGTTGCTCTATTGCAAGTTGGACAATTGGGTTTAATATAAGCCACCGTGGGTTGATTTATATATCTACTGCAAGTTGCACAGTTGGGGATTAATGCGCCACCGTGGGATGATTAGATATATCATATATTAGCAAAGTGTATTGATTTATACAAGGCTTGCCCGGCAACAACCAAACGCCCAATCAGGCGCTTGGAAAGAGGAGCGAGCAAATTGCACCGCATTAGTATCGATGGGCCTGGCTAGTGCACATGCAATTTAAGTAAAGATTATACTGAAGCTGCTAGAAACAGTTAATGAGAGTTATAAAAAGTTAGTAATTAGGCCTGTTTGAGACTGAAAAGTGTTTAAAAAGGTTAAACGAAAAACGAACCGAAGATGTGTGGCCCAAGAAGCAATTCTAATGCACCGCTGCACAATGCAGTTAAGTATTGTGGGTATTTGGGGCAATAAAACTTAAGTTTTTTTAGTTGAATACCAAGAGCAATATTATGTAAAAAATAAACTTTCGTTTGTTGAAGATATATCATAAAACTACAAGCTGAAATAGAATTTTCACTAAAATGGACATTGAAAAATCGATGTACTGCATTTTTCATGTTTCTTTTATATTCGCCTGCCAGCGGTTCGCCATTTTTTTGTACTATGCACAGACGCAGCAACAACAAAATTGACAAGAAAAGAAAACAAAGTGGTAAATGAAAATCAGCTGTGAGTGGGAGAGAGCACTTGCAGGAAAATATAAATAACAAAAACAATGCAATTAAATTTTAAATGAAAATGATGCGAAAGCCGCTAGGTGTCAACAAAAACAATAAAAAATTATATACATACATAATTTTAAATAACCCGTTGAATTAACGGAGATTTCTGGAAAAATTCACAAGAACTGCGAAAAAAGACATTCCAGCTATAATTTGAGCTCGTATATAAATATTTGGAGTTAAGATTTTCAAAATATATACCTTTTGTTGATTTTGACAATTGTGTTACACTACCTATGATAATGCTCGTGTTCTATTCGCTTGGCGTGATTAGTGATTCGAAGTGCTTATAAAATAATTGATTTATATATATTGTTGTAAAGAAGTAAACTTAGCCTGCAGCCTGTGCATCAAGTACTTGTTTAATCAATATGGTGCACGATGATTATCAACGTTTTGCAAAATGTACTTATGTGCAATAGTTAAAGCAGTTATGTTGCAATGTGTACTTTCGTTTTTGCATTAGGTAAGTCCTTATAAACTTTTATTTATAGTTATATATGTATGTACATATGTACATTCTCTTGACCTCATGAAAAATGATTTATTTTTGCTAATTGAAAGCATTTTGACTTTCTTCGACAAATCATATGTTTTCTCCCTCTTGCTCTTAGTTGCTTCGGGTTTTTGTTGCATTTGCAAATAAAGAGAAACTTTGTTTTTGTTTACTTTTTCACTGGCGAGCGTTCATTCTCCGGCGAATTCGGCGTATCAGCTGCTAATGTCAAAATGATGACATTTATTTGTTTACGTACGTCAGCAGTGCTGCCATGCTGAAATAATCTATCAATACCAAAAAAATTGTAGCCCATATGGATAGGCAACGTTTATAAAAAAGAAAAACGGTTTTTTGATTTAAAAATTTAATGATTTGAAAACTGTTTTTTTATTCAGGTTTTAAACCGTTTAAAACCCTGATCCTTTTGGTTTACCAAAAAAAAATCCGGATTATAAAAGCACTGCAAAAAATTAGAAAACATCGATATCGAATTAAATTACATTTTCAATTACACTTATTACTTACTGCTGTGCAATGCAAATCAATTACAATAATATTTTTGCTTTATTTTATATAACAACTTTCAAAAATAGGAAATATAATAAAGCGTTGGATATGTTTATACAAAACAAACAAAACAAAAACAAACTTCATTTCATAAAAATAAACTTAAATTTATAGATATATACATATGTATGTATGAATTTAATTATAGGCAGGTTCTGCAATTCACTTCCGTGTGAGTTTCAACCCCTGGCAATTTGAAATAAAAGCGAATTAGAATGAAATTCACTCGCAAGCGAATTGCATAATCTGCCTGAATAACGACTTCAAAATTAAGTGTACGGTGATTTATTTTCAATAAATGCGCCCTCATAATTTGCTGGCCAAATGGCTTTAGAGAAAGAAGCCCATTTGCAATGTCAAAAAAGTGGGGGAATTGAACGGAAGTGGTTTTTGCTAAATGTATGCACATACATATGTACATACATACATATGTATATCAACAATAAACGCAAACAAATGAATACGTATATACATAGTTATGTATGTATGTATGTATACTCATTATTGTTGCTGCAGCGGCACCCTTCCATTAAAAAAATAATAATTATGCACATACGTATATATGTACACAGTATGTATTTAGTGTCCGATCGAAGCTGGAATTTTTGCCGAAGCCGAGTCCTAATATTAGGTACTATTCGAACACCGAAGCCGAAGCCGAACATTAAAATTAAGTTCTACGTTTCAAAAATAATAGGTCTGTGATTTTATATTTCGTAACAAATTATTTTTATTATTTTTTAAATAATAGGAACACCTTACAAACATACATAGTAGAAAAGAAAAACAAAAACGGCAAAATGGTGCAGTCTTAGCGTTAAAAAACATTTTAAGGACCTGAATAACTATCATAAAATCAATACTCAAATTAAGAAGCTTTATGTTATGTACAAAAAAAAAAATAAGTTTGTCTGTGTTTTCTCCTAAAATCATACATTTTTCCCAATTTTCTAACACTTCTCTACACCTTCGAAAGCAAAATTCTGTTCGACAGAAAATTTGATAGATACTCAACGAAAATTTCGACACGGTTGCATAGCTCATAATACGAATTTCACTTTCGATCTTCGATAACCAGCGAAGATCGAAAATCGAATTAAACTCATAATAAGGGCCCTATTGACACTACGTAGAACAAGTGGTTGATCTAAATATTCATTTATTTCAATTGCAAAAATAGTTGTAGTTTTCGCTCTGCGTGTAATTACAAAAAAATGAACTAAGGTGGGGTAGTACAACAACGAAAAGGAAATACTAGAACTGGGTAGTTGAGGCCAATGAACTTTGCAAAAAAATTAAACTGTCTACTTTGTAGAAACTGATTGAAACTGTAGACATTGCGAACTTTTAATAAGGCGATCCCTACGTTCGCCCAACAAAAAATTATATTTTTTTCGGAATTGTCTTGCACAAATTCTTAAGACTCAGAGGTATACAGTGCACTTTTTTTCTGGTATGGTCTAATGCAAAACTCATTATGCATTCATTACAGTGGTAAGTGGTTCAGGTCCTCAAAAAAATTATTGCCCAAAAATCTGAAGCGCTTTCTCTTTGTACAGCCTAACCTAGCAGCCACGCGACCAATTGACTCGTGTACCGCTAGTATTACCGTAAGAAAAATGTGTTACGATCATCGAGCACCTTGATACTCTGCATGTGTATAGATTAGTCCGCCTGCTACTTTGAACTTCTCCTCAAGTTGTAAAAGCAGGCAACTTAAAGAGGCTGGACTCGGTTCCCCAAGCCTTGTATAAGACTTTTTAGTCCTTATTTCCCGATGCACCACCATGTTCTAAAACACAGGAAAAAGGGACTAGTAAGCCCAAGACAGAGAGGGAGAGAGCCCAAGAGGATGTAGCCATTTTGGAAATTCCTTAAGTTATGTATAGACATCGAGTTAGTCCGGCTTCAGTGTCTTCATTGCAGACACATTTCTATAACAAAAACAAATCATCAGGTGAATCATCCTTTCACCAACCTTACCTAGAGTCTCAGCCTTAAAATTATTGCAATAATCTGTAATATTTTGTATACATACATCTTTGAAGATTGAAATTTTATGGTAAGGATCGTAATATCTCGGTAGACGCTTCGAAAACGCCCTATCTTAGAAAATGATTGAAAAACGCCCTATCTCAGCTGCCGATATATTGAATTTATAGGGAGTTAGGGCGTTTTCGAAGCGGCAGCTGAGATAGGGCGATGTTCCACTCAGCCGATGATATACATATGTATGGGCATTAAGGTTTTCGGGTTCCTGTGCTGTGCGGTGCTTAGATTAACGAGGCTCATTAAGTGTTGTTTCAAGCTTATTTAACTGTAAAATGTAACCAGTTCGAAGAGCTCGTACCAAATGCAGGAGTGCGAGGTAAGGTGGGATTATATAGAGGCGGTGAGTATCGTGCGAAATGTCTTGAAATATTGAATTTGGGTATACCAGAAACAATGGATACCTGCTAAGGGGCTTAGTACTGGTTTTCAGTATCATTAAATGCGCCTAAGCAATCTTTTGTTTCTCTGCTTTAGAGTGACGCGCGCAAAACTTATAGAAAAGAAGACACCAGCTAAGCAGTGCTGTTAATAAAATAAAGCCGACGAAAAGATAAAGATCCAGCGCGTGCGAGACAACGTACGATAAGTGCGCCGCATCAGCTTTAGTGAGAGGAGCGCCTTTCGTTTGGGCGACATATTCCACCCACCAGATGGCGGTTTGCAGCGCAGTTTGTGGCCGATGTTTGTAGGAGAACGCGATCGCTTTGGCGTTGTCCATGTATCTAAAAAAAGGGGGGAAAAACTCGTATTACATAAAATTTCACTAAGAATATGAGCGTACATAAAATATGAAGAATAAACAAAATGTGTTGTTGTACAGATGCGCCACTTAACTTACTGCTTGTGCAGCACCTTCTTAACCGATCTGAGCACTGCATTTTCCGTGATATCCTCATAGCGCAGCACTACACCCATACCGCGTTGCTTTATTGCCGCCGCATTCAGGAATTGATCGCCAAAAATGGGTGTGGCTACAACGGGCACACCACAATAAGCTGCCTCAGTGCAACCCATTAGGCCGGCATGTGACATGAAAACTTTCACATTAGGATGACAGAGTATGTCGCGTTGCGGCAGCCATTTACTTATATACAAATTGTCCGGCTTGTGATCCAATGTACTATTCTCCCATTTCCAAATGACGCGCTGCTTGAGACGNTTTTATTGCCGCCGCATTCAGGAATTGATCGCCAAAAATGGGTGTGGCTACAACGGGCACACCACAATAAGCTGCCTCTGTGCAACCCATTAGGCCGGTATGTGACATGAAAACTTTCACATTAGGATGACAGAGTATGTCGCGTTGCGGCAGCCATTTACTTATGTACAAATTGTCCGGCTTGTGTTCCAATGTACTATTCTCCCATTTCCAAATGACGCGCTGCTTGAGACGCTTCACAGCGCGCAAAATTGCTTCACGCTTGGCGGGCGGCAAAGTTTCGGCGCGTATCATCGAACCCCAACTAATGAAGACGACGCCATGCTCGGCATTGTCGATAAACTTTTGCAGCTCAGCATCCAGGGGCTTGGCCGTTTGTATGTGTACGCCGCTAATCTCCACGACAGATGGTGGCAGTGGCATAACGCCGCTCATTGAAAAGTGTTGATTCACAAAGTACGCTGCAGTTTGCTTAGCCAATTCAGCAACGGAGGGTAGGTCATGACCAAATTTTCGGCGTACAATGGCATCCGTANGGGCTTGGCCGTTTGTATGTGTACGCCGCTAAGCTCCACGACAGATGGTGGCAGTGGCATAACGCCGCTCATTGAAAAGTGTTGATTCACAAAGTACGCTGCAGTTTGCTTAGCCAATTCAGCAACGGAGGGTAGGTCATGACCAAATTTTCGGCGTATAATGGCATCCGTATCTGAGGTGGTGATAAAGCTAGGGAAGAAGTGAATAGTAATACAGAAGACTCCCGATTTGCAAGTAAATATGTAGTTCCAGCTACATTTTTAACTACACATACCCATAAAGTAAACGCTCGCTATGGAAGAGGAGCCAGTTGAGAAGGCGAGTGCCAAAGCCCGATTGTCCCATGAAGCTGTCGGGTATAGACGTTGGCATAATTGGTACGCCCATGCGATCGTAGTGCCAAGGCAACATTGCGCAGCTAATTTCGTGTGAACAATGCAAAACAGAAGAAATCGTAATGTGTGAATTATAATAAATGCAATTTGTGCTTTTGCTTAGAAAAAAAATTGCCAGCATTTCTACTCACCTACTCAACGCTATGAATGGCGCCTTGAGTTGATGTGCCACCGCNCAAACTTGCCAGCATTTCTACTCACCTACTCAACGCTATGAATGGCGCCTTGAGCTGATGTGCCACCGCCATCATGCAATCGCTGTTGAATTGCTCCATGATGATCACATCGAAATGTTGTTGGTGCCGCAACACTTGTGCCAAAGCACCCGAATGTAATGTTTGATTGCAGGCATCTTTCCCCCACTCGTGGATCATAAGGAGTTCCAAATAGAAGTTGTAGAAAGGTTGGTCTTCAAAGGCCTGCAATTAAGTGCAACGGAACTTATTGATAACAGTTGTTGTTGTAGCTTAGGTTAGGTTAAGTGGGCGGATCTGAGAAGAGTTCCACCCGGCCGTGAAAATGGAATGGAGCAATACGAAGTTCCCAGTCATTTCGGTCTGGATAATGGACATAGAAATCCCGATTGAAGTCAGTTTCCGTGACTTGATAGTCACAGCTTATGTACTCTCTCGAGGATCGTGGCGTGGCAAGTTCTTCGCAGCCTGTTAGATGCCCTGAGTCGTAAAGGGATTTTAGCTGCGGCACTTTTAACGTATAGGTCTATGGAGCTCGAGAATAAGTCCTCCACTCGTATCCCTTCGAGGAAGGACTGGAAAGACGTCTCGGTCTGGGCCTGCAAGATAACTCCACAGCCATCTACACGGATGGCTCCAAACTAAATCTAAGAGTAAGGAGTGAGATACACTCGAAGATCCTCTCACTGGATCTCTGCTTTATGCTACCAGACCACTGCAGTGTCTTCCAAGCAAAACTCGTGACTATAAAAGAGGCGGCACTCTGGCTTATCGAATCTTCTCTTAATCTGCCTTCAGTAACTATATATTCCGATAGCGGCTATCAGGTCTCGGGATTGCTGCAAGACCTCATCTATAACTGCGATAGAATGTAGGAAAGCCCTGAACGATCTAGCTTCAAAGTCTACTACTCACATCGTGTGGATGCCATGCCACAGGGACGTTCAAAGCACTTGTGCGACGGACGAGCTTGCTGTCTGACGTCAAGTCCTCTCTTGCAGCGGGCATACCCATATCTACCTGTAAAACATGACTCAGGGCATACTTCGTTGAGATTGCAAACAAAAGATGGTCGGAAGAACCGCCCTCATGTCGGCGAGAAGACGTTCATTCCACCACCACATTTTTGGCTGTATCCCCGATCCAAGTGAAGCAGACATTCACGAATTGTCGCGCTTTCTGAACCTAACCAACTGGTTTTACTTCTAGGTGAACGGACGGGTTCGAATTCTCAATTGGTATCACAACGTACCCACTGGGTCTAAGTGTGCCTCTCTCCCACGTTGGATGAAGGCATGCCGTTAGTTTATCTTGAGGACAACTATTGAACGATTATAAAAGCAGCAACAAAACAAATACACAGTATCTCATGTAAAGCAATTCAACTCTTAACCCAAAAGTAAACACTTCAACACTTTACAGTATTAGTAATTATGTATGTCAGTCCGAAAGTAATTATTCAAGTCGCATCCTTCTTTCTTAAATTTCACTCACCTTCAATTCTATAGAATTCGTCAAAATTTTTTGACCTGTCAGCGGCAAATCCCTGTACTGTTGCGGTGGGTTTTCATCCGGAAAATGACTTATCACCGTAACATCATGACCTTTTTCAGCCAGGCCACGCATTATGGGATGGAAGAAACGAAAATGACTATAGCCAGGGTGAGGAAATAGGCCGAGTATCTTAAGCGAGTTACTGGCTTGCACCAAAGTGCAACAGAGCCCAAGCAGCTGTAAGAGGTGGCCAGATGTTAACATCACCATTTCTCTACAAGGGATAGTGAAAAGAATTCAAATAAAATATTCGCTCCACCATTCAAAAATGGCGACACAGACATTAGCGGTTCTTTATTTTTAACCGACTTCCAAAAAAGGAGGTTATCAGTTCGTCGGAATATTTTTTTTTTTTTTTTTGATCTATGCTACCGCATAACTTTGGACCACGTTAACCGATTTCGATAATTCTTTTTGTACCGGAAAGGTAGTGTCTCAGAAGTGGTCCCATACTTGAGATCCGATCAGTGGATCATGAGATATATATATATACATATATATATATTTTTTTTTTATATGGGAGTTGAAGTCGGTTTTTTTGTTGCCAAAAATTAATTGTTGTATATACATACATAAATAAAATATTTACTGCACCATTCAAAAATGGCGACACAGACATTAGCGGTTCTTTATTTTTGTATATACATACATTGACAATCAAAAGTGAGAGCATGGTGTTTTTTGTTTAATATTTGCAATGTTTATCAAGTTAAAATTTCGTTGTTATTTTTTATAAAAATATGGTTCATCAAAACCACATAAGGCAAACTTTCAAACTTTATACAGAACTTAGAAAAATTCAACAAATTTTGGTCTAAATTCTGAACTTCTTTATCTGAATTTTTAAACAAGTAATTTTTAGCAAAAAAAAACCGACATAAAATAAATATATATATATCTATATATTTCATGATCCAATGATCGGATCTAAACCATTAGTATGGGACCACCTCTGAGACACTACCTTTCCGTTGCAAAAATAATTATCGAAATCGGTTGACGTGGTCCAAAGTTAAGCGGTAACATACATAAAAAAAAAAAAAAAGATTCCGACGAACTGATAACCTCCTCCTTTTTTGGAAGTCGGTTAAAAACATTTGAGTACGCAGATAGATCAGTTTTTTAATTATTCTAAACCGAGTGCAAGTTTTAAGTGGCTAAAAGATCGCGTTGATTTTTAATGATTTTTTATTGCTGACGGCTTTTTGCACTTTTTACCATATGAAATGGATTTTATTGTATAATAAAATGCGCATGACCGTTTGCAAATAAAATTTAAAAAATAACGCCATATTTTATAAATTGCAATTATGATGTGCATAAAACCGCGAAGTCTGTCGGAAAAAATTTATTAAAAATCAACGCGATTTTTTAGCCGCTTAAAACTTGCACTTGTTTCACTAGAATTACTTAGCTGATCTATCTGAGTACCAAAAATTTTTCTAAAAACTCGGATTAAAAAGTTCAAAATTTAGATTAAAATTCGGTGAATTTTTCCAAGTTCTGTATAAAGTTTGAAAGTTTAGCTTATGTCTTTGTGATTAAAGCAGGAACCACATTTTATAAAAAAATAACAAAAAAAATTTAGCTTGAAAATCATTGCAAATATTAAATAAAAAAAAACACCATGCACTCACTTTTGATTGCCAGTGTATTTAAGTGTGCACTTATTAATGTCAGTGGCCTGGTTTTTCAATTCACACCTAAAGCCATTTTTTTTTTTAATTTGACTGGTTTGATTGGATGTTGTTCCTTTTTTTTTGTCTGATCATTTCAAGTTCACTTACCAACGCAAAATTAAAAGGCGTTGAATGAACAGCTTTAAATTGATATAGTAAATGATTAAATAAAATAAATTGAAAAAACACACTTTTACACAAGTTGAACGAGTTGTCACAGCTTTCTTCTGCGACTGATAAATTAAGACTAAGTCAAGGAATTTGTAAGATCGCTAACTTGCAGCTAGAAGTGTATAAGTGATAGCGATCTCTTTCTCCGGTTTAAGGAGCATATGAGGGGTGAGAATTCTCAAAAAGATAACGAGTTGGTGATCGCAGTGGAGTCGATTTTGGAAAGGCTTGTAAAGATATGTAGGCTCTAAGCTAACCGTACGAGGGTAGTTATTATTATTTTATGATTTTTGTTTTTTTCGCTCAAAAATAATCGCTTTTTGGTGATTTTTAACCGAATTCCAAAAAAGGAGGAGGTTATCAGTTCGTCGGAATATTTTGATATTTTTTTCATGTATGTTACCGCATAACCTTGGACCACGTCAACCGATTTTGATAATTCTTTTTGCATCGGAAAGGTAGTGTCTCAGAGATGGTCCCATACAAAAATGCCCCTCATTGCGTGGCCTCGACCTTACAGGGCGGCATTGGCCATCAAGGCTGACGCTGAGTCCACAATCTTTAAACCAGATGTCTACAAAACTGAGTGAATTTTGTAGTACCTCACTCAGGACCTCGCCTCCCACCATAAGAAGGAAATTACACACAGCCACAATTGAAGACTCCCAGCGTGTGTTCCCTTACGGCTAACCTCTTTTCGATCGTCGATACGATTTCATGGGGCGCGGTCTCCACGGATTTTAGAGCAATGTATAACAGTTAATTCTGTTTGGCAACCATTTTTAAAGAATGGAGCAAAATACAAATGGCCTTTCAACAAGAGAAAGCGAGCTTTCACACACCTCGTCAAACAATTGATTTTTTAAGCATTGGTGGGCCATACGCAGACGGTTCCGATTTGCCACCTTTTTGAATTTTCAGACAGCGGAGAAAGTTGATTTCTTTAGGAAATAATTTCCGTCATCTCTCCTCAAGTTTGGTTTCTTAGACATAACCGGTTTCGACGTTATGCCACCTTCAATGTGACACTGATGATGGCACAATGCCGCAATCGGTTTGTCTCCAAACCAAACTTGACCAGGAATGAAGGGAATTTGTTCCAAAATATATCGTTTTTTCTCCATTCTCCATGTTTTTTTTTTTTTTAGTTAGTCTTAGAACTTTTTAGCGACCCTCGTATAACTTCTGTTCAAAAAGTCTCCGGAATGCACTTATGTATGATTTAAATAAAGCGAGCTTGTGATATCGTCAACAAATATTGTTTTCTAGTATCAAAACACAATGACTTGTATGTACATATATATGAATTTACATAAATATATGACTATTTGATGAAATGGAATGTTAATACAGCATACTTCAGTCAGCATGAGTACTTTCTGTTTCCTCCACCTCACCGAAAGTGTTTTAAGGCAATTGAGGCTATATGGTCAACAATTCAAAGAATGAACTGAAGGCGATGCCTGAATACAGTACTTACATGAAATGTGCTTTGCTGATTACTTAGAAAAAATTTAGAATACATATGTACTTAAATAAAGCTTTAGCTTAGCTTAAAGCTTTAAACAAGCTTACAAAAGAACTAAAAGTGACCCCAAATAACGAACGAAACTCTCAAACTCGACGATACCTGAGCAGTATTGATGCATCTGCAACTACCGAATATTCTCTCTGGCAAGTAGCGAGCAAATTCAAGAGACCCACCCTGATACAATCTGCAATAAGAAAGGAAAACAACGAATGAGCAAAGGGTGATTTAGAAAAGGCTAATACATTTGTGCGATATCTAAAAAAGGGAATTCACACCGCATAACTTTGAATCCCCGCCCATGACAATAAGTTCCCTGTGTTGTACTCATCAAATAAAAAAAAAAATAAAAAATAAAAAATTGACTAAAGCACAAGTAAAAACAGCAATTGGTAAGTCAAGCCTGAAAAAAGCTCCCAGCTCACTCTTTTGACTTCCTTGCTTAATGCTGTCCTCATTACGGGATTTATACCACCACAATGGAAGGAGCCACACATAGAAATGATGCTCAAACCCAGAAAAAGTGCGGATATAGTTTTACACGAAAGTCTTACTTGAAAAAAGCTCCCTTGCCAACTTGCATGCTGAAAAGCTCTTTTGACAGAAATCACTTGAGCATGTTCCCAACGGCTCATTTTGCTCGCGCTGCTCCCATAGTCGCAATGGCCGAGTAAGCAAAGCGCTGGCGTGCCATTCGGGATATCCACGTTCGAATCTTCGGGGATCGGATTTTTGTTTCTTTTATTTTATAAAAATGTTTTCCTTTTATTTATTTTATATTAATTTTTATTTGTAGGAAGAAAAACAAGCAGGGAACAGCAGAAGCAGGAAAACTACGTATACTGGAAGCAATTGAGTTAACAATCTTTGAAATCACTTTCCATTTATTTTACCACTACCAATTCGACTACAAATTATAAAGTGTAGTAAATAATCATAATTTTGTACTTTATTATCCTTGAACTGAGTTGTGTAATTTCATTCTAAAATAGTTTCATTTTTTTATGTACATATGAATCTCGCTAATTACGTACACTAATATTTATTATATGTAACTTTTGAACTTCATTTGATAAACTAAACTCATGCCACGCCAAAAATAATTGTACTTAAAATTTTTGTGCTAATCGCCATTCTGGAAATCTATTTACAACTACAAAAATATCACAAAAAGTGGTATTGTGTTTAGTTAGTCTTTTGTTTCTCTATTTTAGGACGACGCGCGCAAATTTTGCCACAAATGAAACTCCAACTTAGTATCGTAATGAATAAAACCATGCCCACGAATAGATAAACATCCATTGAGTAGTAAACAAAGCGTGATAAAAACACCGCATCGGCTTTAGTGAGCGGAGCGCCCTCTGTTTTGGCGACATATTCCACCCACCAGATGGCGGATTCCAACGCAGTTTGTGGTCGATGTTTGTAGGAGAATGAGACCGCTTTGGCATTGTCCATGTATCTGAAAAAAAAATTTGAAAACTTATTTCTTTGCTCCCCATTTGTGCCACTTAACTTACTGCTTCTTCAGCACCTCCCTAACTGATCGGAGCACTGAATTCTCCGTGATATCCTCATAGTGCAGCACTACGCCCATGCCGCGATGCTTCAAAGCCGCCGCATTCAAAAACTGATCGCCATACATGGGTGTAGCAACAACGGGGACACCACAATAAGCCGCCTCCGAGCTGCCCATTAAGCCGCTATGTGACATGAAAACTTTCACATTAGGATGACAGAGTATGTCGCGTTGTGGCAGCCATTTACTTATGTACAAATTGTCCGGCTTGTGATCCAATGTACTATTCTCCCATTTCCAAATGACGCGCTGCTTGAGACGCTTCACAGCGCGCAAAATTGCTTCACGCTTGGCGGGCGGTAAAGTTTCGGCGCGTATCATCGAACCCCAACTAATGAAGACGACGCCATGCTCGGCATTGTCGATAAACTTTTGCAGCTCAGCATCCAGCGGCTTGGCCTTTTGTATATGTATGCCGCCAAGCTCGACGACAGAGGGTGGCAATGGCTTGACGCCGCTCAGTGAAAAATGCTGATTCACAAAGTATGCTGAAGTTTGCTTAGCCAATTCAGCAACGGAGGGTAGGTCATGACCAAATTTGTACTGCACCATGGCATCGATTGTGGGAGTGGTGATGAAACTGTTAAGCATGTGCAAAAAAGAGAAAGAGTGTTAAAAAATAAAATAAAATTGTCTACTTCGCAGGTGTCTGCTGGGTATTTTCATATAAACTTACTCATAAAGCAAACGCATGCTGTGGAAGATGAACCAGTTGCCTAGGCGATAGACAAAGCTCATCGACTCCGATTGTCCCATGAAGAGTGTCGGTATAGATGATGGTATCATGGGCACGCCCATGCGTTCGTAGTGCCAAGGCATCATCGCACAGCTAATTTCGTGGGAACAATGCAAAACAGAAGTGCAATTTGTGAGTTATTAAAAATGCAACTTGAGCTTTTATTTACAAAACCACATTTCCACTATTCCCACTCACCTACTCAACGCTATGAATGGCGCCTTGAGTTGATGTGCCACCGCTACCATGCAATCGCTGTTGAATTGCTCCATAATGATCACATCGAAATGTTGCCGCTGTCGTAACACCTGCGCCAAGGCATCGGAACGCAGCGTGTGATTGCAGGCATCCTTACCCCAGTTGTACAGCATAAGGAATTCCTCGAATTTATTGTAGAAATGTCTGTTTTCAAACGCCTGCAAGGTGTAAAAGGAACATTAGAAAAATCGATATGTAAGAATGTAAGGGTTAGTTTGTCTTTATGTATTGCAAACCCTCGTGGAAACTTAATAAAGAAGGGCATGTATCTTTCCAAATGAAGAGAAAACAGTGGCGGTTGATAGCCCAAACGTTGCGTAAAGAAGCTATCAGCTTATTATCAGATCTAGCGCACTTCTGGAATTCGTCTGGATTATCTAGAGTAGATTCACTTTTTACTAGCTTTAAACTGTGGTAAGCACGACTTGAGAGCGCGTCAGAAACATCGCCCTAAACCGAGCTCGGCGAAAGTGCTTTGTAGAAGTCTCAGCTCCTAGGAGAAGTCGTAAATGAGCAGAAAATCAATTCCAAAACACAGGATCGCATTTGTTCTCAAAAAAACAAATATAATTATAAGGATGCAGAAAGACTGTAAGTAGAAAGCCACTTTTAAAAAGTCTCGATATCGTAGCCTAAAGCCTAGCAAGGTCTGCTTTGCAAGGACCACATATTATCTTCTGTTGGTTCATAAATGTGTGGCACACTTAGGCCTAAAATGAATGGCCCGTTGTGATACCACAACCCGGTGTGATTTCACTCCCCCTTGCTGGTCATTTAGAGTCTCTCTTGAAGTTGACTGTTTTCTCCTTCTCAGAAGTAGTTCTTGCAATTTCTGGAACATCTACGAAACGATACTCTGAGCCGTTTTCTCACCTATACGACAATGGCCCGTTAGAGCTAAGTTGGTGTTATATAACCAACACATATATTCTTAAAAAATGCAAATATCGAACTCTTTTTTCCAATTCACCTAAGGCACTTTGCCTAGATATCCGATAGGTCCTGCTTTGTATCCATTCATTAATTTTCTAGAGCATAACAGTCTTTGGTAGTTCAACTCCAGCTTGATTACCAGCTAAAGCGAGATTTTGTACCAAAAACATCTCCGTTAACAAAGCAGTCAATCTTGGTTAATTGAAAAGCTTTATGATATCAAAGCAATGAGTGTTAAAAAGCCGACCATGATTTGTCAGACATACATATATTGATCACTTTTATTATACATGAAAGGTGGCCTCCTCTGTATGTTCTATAAATGAATTGCTTTTTCGGAAGGTATAATTTTTTGGAGGAGAAACTTTTTTTCCTTTTTCCTTTAAATATATATTTAGTTTTTCTTCCACAACTCTACCGAGACTGAAATGTACCGGAAACAGCTAATGTGAGAAAAGCGAACTGAATTTCAGTACGATATAGTATTGTTTACAAGGAAATACTAGGTACCATATTTTCTTAATGAAGTGGGGTTTACAACGGCCTGCTTCTATGCTTATCATGGGGGTCTAACCGTATACTTACATACATATAGATTCAGAGCAGAACGCCAGCGTTGTAGGAGGTGTTTTTTGTTAGGAAATTTCCATAAACCTCAAGTTTAGACTATAGGATTTCCGGAGCTGTTTCAAGTAGAGGTGGTAGGGTAGGTAGTAGTATTTTGCCTAGTAACATTAGAAAGATGGGTACTATTGCAGTCAAGCGGAAACAAGTGTTTTAGAATCGCTTATATCTAGTGTGATCGAAACTGGTTGGGAAATACCTGACCAGGAGAAATACTTCCAAATTAGGTAACTGCAGGGTTAATGAATTTGTAGTCAGGGCATCATCAAAAATATTTCTCCGGACAAGGAATATATATGAGTTCCTACCTGTGGCCAATTCCTAAACTAATGGGCGTTTAAGGGCTGTAAAAAGGCGAAAGGAGCTTCTTAAGCTAGCTAAGCGCCAACTTAGGGGCTGGAATTACAATAGGACCTCCCTACTGTCGAAGCAGTTTGAGCGCCTCGTAAAAACAACACGATGATTCCACTATATGGAGAATCAGAGCTCACTAAAATGGCAGCAGAATGTGGCAACTTGGCTTACGTGCCCTGAACTTCGTTAAGGATGGTGCCAAGCACTTTTTCTCCTTCTTCCATCCCCCTATTGCTTTATGACGACTCAGTGCTACAGATAGATCTTATAATAAGCTTGATATAGGAGAATTCCTCATACTCCCGAAGTCATTTATTATCGGAACACTTTAGATTGTTTATGCCCGCAGAGTACCTACGTTCAGTTTTAACTTGGGATAATAACTCAGTCTTCTTTTCCAGTACCTCAGTGACGAGTGCACTGAGTCTCAACCAAACACCATTTTAACAAATTACCACCCACACTTTAACTTACCTTTAAATCCACACTATTCGTCAAAGTTTCGTGATTCGTCAGCGGCAAATCTCTATAGCGCACCGGTGGGCTTTTATCCGGAAAATGACTTATCACCGTAACGTCATGTCCTTTCTCAGCCAGGCCACGCATTATTGGATGAAAGAAGTGAAAATGACTGATGCCAGGGTGCGGAAATAGGCCGAGTATCTTAAGTGGGTAGCTGGCTTGCACCAAAGTGCAGCAGAGGCCAAGCAGCAGCAACAGGTGGCCAGATGTTGGCATCGCCATTTCGCTGAAAGAGAAAGGTGGTTGCTTTTGAATGAATAAAATACCAAAATATGCGCATATAAAATTTTAATTTGCATAAAATTTTCGCGAGACAAAAACACTTGTATATAATTTTAACAAAAACCAAAAAAAAAATAATAAAGAAAATCCCAAAGCGATTATATAAGGCACTAAATTTTCTTTTACGACCACAAATTGCTCTGTGATGTAATACCCCGTCACTGCATTCACTTCAATCGCCAATTCCAATTGGCAAATAAAAGCGCAGAGCGTAATGATAGACAGCTCCAACGAAAGTACGAATTGTTTGCGATAGAAGTAGCGCGAAATTCATTGCACTGTTAACAAAAAAAAAAACACAGTCGATACCGGCTTTGACGGCTTAATTTTATATGAATGCACCTACATATATGTCTGTATGGCTGTGTAGAAGTTGACGTGTTTTTCAATTATCACTTAATGACACGTTTTTTGCATTGCCTATTTATTTGGCTGTTTAATCGCTTTAAATTTATATTTTTTATCTTTTGTTGATATATATTTACATACACAATTTTTTTGTCTCATCATTTCCAGCTCACTCACCAGTGCCTGATTATGCAGCAAAATTTGAAAGTAGCTGCGTATTTTTTTATTTTTTATTTTTTATAATTTTTTTTTTTTGATATTAGGCTAAAAATTCGCGCCGAACGCTCGACACGTGCAAAAATTCTTAACAGTGTTTTATTAAAATGTCCACGAAATCAAAAGAAATTGAAAATAAATCAAAAACCAATTAAGTTTGCTGCACGGCCGAACCGTTTTGCTGAAGCTTTCTTCGACGACTGACTAAGTGAAGGCACTGCCGGCTAAAAAGGCCTTAGTAAGCTCGTTAACTAGCAGTTCATATGTAGCAGACAATTTCCCGTGCGCACATGTACATACATGTACGGATTTGTATCTATGTCTTTGTGCTCGTGCCAAGCGATTGTCAGCAGTTTGGTCGTTTGCACTATTACACCCTAGTGAAAGTCATTAGATAATGCTTGCTACACAAAACAAAAGAAGGAACCAACTTAAAATTTGTGTCATCATGACTTATCTTTTCTGTTGCAACTGATAGCGAATGCATATTTTATTGACTACTTTTTGAAAATAAAATCAAAAAGCATTTTTGAGAAGTGCTAAAGGAATTATTTATGCTGATATGAACACTTGATTATTTCCTCTTCTTGAGTGGCGCCGCGGCTTAAAACTGTCTTTTGTCAAAACTTGGTAGCACAATGTTTTGGTTATTTAAAAACTGGCCATAAATTTTGGACATAATTTTTAGTAACCTAAAAAGTGAACATACATATGTTTTTTGTCTTTTAAAGCCTGTGCCTAATTTTTTTAAATTGAAAACTGGACACAAATTTTTTTTCAATTAAAAACTGTACATACATTTTTGGTAATTTAAAAATGAGATATGCAAACATCTTCACATATTAGATATTTTTAGAGTTGGACTTTTGGTAGATCAAAAACTGAACATAATTTTTGGTACCTACTTTCAAAATTGGGCATATGTACATTTTTGGAAATTTAAAAACTGGTTTTCAATTTAATATATTTAAAATAATAATAGTCAGTTAAAAGCACGAAAAAACTGGTTGGCTATTCTAAAACTAGACATAAAAAATTGGTAATTGGTACAGCTGTATGTACATAAAATTTTTGGCCTTATAAAAACTGAGTATACACTTTTAAATAATTTATAAAAATTGTTGATATTTAATAGTTAGTTAAAAGCCGGACAAAAGTTTTTGGCTATTTTAAAACTAGACATAAAATATTGGTGATGTAAAAGTTGTACATAAAATTGTTGGTCATTTAAAACTAGACATAAATTTTTTGTAATTAAAAAACTGAACTTGAATTCCGATATTTTAAAAACTACTAGATTAATTTTTGAAACAGAGAACGAACATATTTGCCAAATAAAAACTAGAAACAAATTTTCATATTTTAAAACCTAACCCTAATTTGTTGTGACACAAATTTTGGTGCTTAAAAAATTGGGCATACATTTTTGCAATTTACACATTACATATAAACATTATTTAAAACTTGGTGCACAAAATTGAATGGCCAGTAAAAAACTGCGCAATTTTTTTTTTGTTATTTGAAAAATAACATACATTTTGCGTAATTTAAAAACACGACTACAATTTTTGTCACATTTTTTGATAATTTTAACAACTACACGCACATTTTTCTCATTTAAAAAATTGGCCATGATTTCTAGCAATTTCGAATTTGAACATACATTTTTGGTCATTCAAAAACCTTTCATAAACTACTGTTCATTTATGAACTGAACTTGAAATTTTTTTAATTTATAATTTGCACAAAATTTTTTAGTAAGTTGGACTTTTGTTTGGGATTTTTTTTTTAAATGAAAAAATATGTCATCCCAGTTTGGAAAGTTTAGTTTCTAGGCTGGAAAAGTTTGAAGACATTCGTTGTTGTTTCTCATTTGAAATTTAGCTTAAAAGTGGATAGGAGTATTTGCGAGCTAATTTCGACCTTATGCGTTAAGCATAGTTCCCCAGATATTTATATGAAATCATATTTACAAAGCATTTTTGCAAATTTTTACGGAAATCTCAATGGAAATGACAATCCCTGCTTATGTCTTTTTTCTAAACGAGATCGGTAATTTTGTACGGTACTTTACCGGGACGTTACACATTTAATTTTCCCCTTTTAAATTTTGATGATATTCGACAAGCAATGTGTGTGTGGAAATTGAAAGGCAAAACTGATTGTGTGTCGGCAGCGTTATTGCCTCAAATTGCCTTCAGTAAAACCTGAAAGTTTTTTCCGAATTTACTTGGAAAGCGTTGGAAATATTCTGCAAATTCGAGACCAAGATAAAGAAGGTCCTCTGGTATATATATTTTTATGCATCTATTTAAATGAAATATTTTATACTAAGCCTCAACAGTTTTAATTTTAACCATGGTAGTACTACACTGAAAAAATGCTTATCGCTAGAAAATCTCCCTTCAGTCAAAATTTCAATCAACTACGGATTTTGTCAACCATTTTGGTTGCGTAATATAAAATAAATAAAGGGTAGTAAATGTATGCTCATTAACTACTTAGTACTAACTTTATAACACGGCTCCCATTATCGCCCATCTTCAAATCACTTGAAACCAAATTTTTTTTCGTAGTGTTTTTTAAATATTGGCTTTGTTTCTTTTCTTTTCTAGCAGATAATTATCAGGAAGAAGAAGAATTAGAAAATTGAAAGAATTACGCTCACAGAGAGCGAAATAACGAAAAAGTAAAGAAACGCAAAACTAGCAAGTAATCAGCTGATCGGTGTATTTGACTATTGAAAATATTTGGCTCGAATTTTTGTTTATCCATTTTGAGAGCTGCTAGTTACTGCTAGTTACTGCTAGTAAAAATTTTACTAATTAGCAAGAAAGCCAGAGCTATTATGTTCGTAGTTGGCCAGCAATTAAACGCGTGTTTACCCTATTGTTGGTGTGAGCGCACATTCAAACAAACATGATTAAGTCGGTACCCTGTAGGAAATTCCTTTAGTGATGTTTCGGCGCTAGCAAAATTTCGAAAAATTTATACAGACAGTGAGAGAAACACATCGCTGGCTAACATCAAATAGTTCAACATTCCGACTGTTCCATTTAATCGGGACATGTCTCCCGACTTCTGGCGGTTGTCATGGCGCTCTCATAACAGGCCGAAATGTCTTCAAATTCTATGGAATTTTTTATTTTTTATTTATCGACTTCGAAAAAATATGCAGGTTATCAATTCGTCGGAATATTTGTTTTAGGTATGTTACCGGAATTGGAAAATATTAAAAAAATGAATACTGAAAAATTTATACCTAGCCGAAAAAAACAACTGACTACGGTGATAAGCAAAAAATCGTCTAAAAGCATGTACATATGTAGATGTACTTCAGGGGAAATTTTAGGTCAAATTACACGTTTTTGCGTGCTACAAATTCTAAATACATCATTTTACGACATACAACAAAGGGATATCTCTCTTAGTAGTACCACAGAAACGATTGCATTAGTAAAATTCCCATCAACTGCAATGAAACCATTTTGTAACCCAGTTTTTTTTCTTTGTTTGCCTCAACGTTTTCTTCTCAATAACAATTTACTTTTAAAAAATAAATTTTACAAGCACTGCCCAAATTCAAAAATACTATTTATATGTATACCAGAAATTTATATTTAAGTGGTGGTTTTGATTTAAATTTTTAATAAAATTTGTAAATAAACCCTTTCTATTGAACTTCGTAGAGAATAATAAGTACCAACCTTAAATTAAAACAACAACATTTTTAAAGTTAACACGTGGGAGTTACTTGTATAAATATGTAGCTCGCTTAAAGCACTTATTTCCGTAAATTTCTTAACTTTCATTAAATCGTAGGCATAACTACTGTATTTGAAATGAAATGAAAATACTCAAGAAATATTTCCTTTTTGGTTGTTGTTGTTTCCGACAGGGTGGGTGTATGATGTATTATGGAACGAATTTCCGTCATCCCTTGTCAAATTTGGTTTGGAGACAAACCGGTTTCGGCGTTGTGCCATCTTCAGTGTCATTTTTCGTTCTGCATAATTTTTGTTGGTTGCTCGTATTTATACTCCTTGTTAACTACCTCTTTCTTTTGTTAGGTACGTCTTTTTAGTTTTGCAGTGTTTGCGGTACTCAATAGGTAGATGAATTGTTTTGGCTCGTTTTTGACGGCAGGTAGAAGTCCGTGATTTTTACCCCCTTTGTTTTTGCAGTCGGTGTATTCCCTTCCATATCTGTCCTTAATATTTTCTTGTTGTCATTCTTCTTCTTGTACAGTAGTTTTAGAGGTTCAAACAGTACGTCCGATGCAGTATTTATTTGCTCATTTATTATTTGTCCTTTGAAGGTCTTCTGTTTATATATTTCCATATTTTCTAATATATTCAATCTTTGTCCTTTATGTT